TTTCTGCTGCAAGTGATAGATTGCTTAAGCAAATGGTGGAGGTATTGGTTCTTCTCATGGAATTGGCTCTTGTAATCTAGGAGCAGAGTGGTGCTCAGGCTGGTTTCCAAATATTATTCATTGTATAAATGACAATAAGACTTATTTGGGGAAATGGCTGATTCCAGAACTACAGCAGTGACATGTGAGATGGGCCTGGGATACCTTCATATAAGAAAGCAGTAAAACAAAGATTAATGTAATGATTAATTATGCCAAAAGGAAACATGAACCAATTTGAAGGGACCCCCCAGTGGCCAAACTTGGGACAAGAAGAGCATTAAAAAAGTAATGATGGCAATAGATTATTACACAAATAGAAAAAGGGGAGGGTTAGGGGAAGCTCTTTTTTCTTTATTTGTTATAAAAGAATACTAGCAAATAAATAATACAAGAATGATAGTTAGAAAAATCACATTTTTTTTTTTTTTAATTTTTTATTGGATTATAGGTTTTGGGGTACATGAGCAGAGCATGCAAGACAGTTGCGTAGGTACACACATGGCAGTGTGCTTTGCTTTTCTTCTCCCCTTCACCCAAATTTGGCATTTCTCCCCAGGCTATCCCTCCCCACCTCCCCCTCCCACTGGCCCTCCCCTTTTCCCCCCAATAGACCCCAGTGTTTAGTACTCCCCTTTCTGTGTCCATGTGTTCTCATTTTTCATCACCCAGCTATGAGTGAGAATATGCGGTGTTTCATTTTCTGTTCTTGTGTCAGTTTGCTGAGGATGATGTTTTCCAGATTCATCCATGTCCCTACAAATGACACGAACTCATCATTTCTGATTGCTGCATAATATTCCATGGTGTATATGTGCCACATTTTTCCAATCCAGTCTATTATCAATGGGCATTTGGGTTGATTCCAGGTCTTTGCTATTGTAAACAGTGCTGCAATGAACATTCGTGTACATGTGTCCTTATAGTAGAACGATTTATAGTCTTTTGGATATATACCCAGTAATGGGATTGCTGGGTCAAATGGAATTTCTATTTCTAAGGCCTTGAGGAATCGCCACACTGTCTTCCACAATGGTTGAACTAATTTACACTCCCACCAACAGTGTAAAAGTGTTCCTTTTTCTCCACATCCTCTCCAGCATCTGTTGTCTCCAGATTTTTTAATGATCGCCTTTCTAACTGGCGTGAGATGTTATCTCAATGTGGTTTTGATTTGCATCTCTCTGATAAAGGGCTGATATCCAGAATTTACAAACAACTCAAGAAAAATCACATTTTAAAATCCCATGTGGAATAATTGAAGCAAGGATGATCAAGGGATGCTAATCCCATTGTGAAAAATTATTGGGAAATAGGACAGCCACATGGTACCACATCTTCACCCCTGGGTTACTGGTATAAAGGGAGCACGTGTACCTTTATAGTGGAGAGATGTGGCAGTAACCATTTTAACCAAATGATTGAGTTTAGCCTCAGTAACAATGGGATAGCCTAACGTTTTGTGTCTTCTGAGGTGATGAAATACGAAGTTCACAGTATGAAGTATTTTATCAAAACCATTTAATTTGAATCTAGATTTAGCCTTCAGTTCACAGGAAATACAAGTGAAGGAATAATAGGTTTAATGATACCATGAAGAAACAATCAGACAAATGCAGAATTTGGGGCGTATTGTAAGACTACCAGCGTGGACTGTTCGTCATTAAAGAAGAATAAAGGCAACAGGATTTTTAGATTAAATGATACTGCAAAGATAAAACAGCGACATGCAGTGGCTAAAACATGATTGGATCCTAGACTGGGGAAAAAAATCGTACAAAAAGTGGGCAGTTGAGGAAATTTGAATGTGGGATGGATATTAGATAATATGAAATTATTAATTTTCTTAGATATAATGGTATTGTTGACCTGTAGGAAAATGTTCTTATTCCTAGGAGATGCATGTAGAGTCAGAGTATTTAGGAGTCAAGGACTATCTGTAATTCATTTTCAAATAGTTCAACAAAATAAATTTTATAAATATATAAGGGATATGCATGCAAAAGCATATATGGCACTATGTTGCAATTGTTGCATAGATGGAATGTTCATTGTATTATTCTTTCAACTTTTGTTCTGAAATTAAAAAAATAAATAAACTGGAAAAAAATCAGTATGGTAAAAACAAAGCAAAATCCTGGAGTGGACAGCTGGCAGGCTGGCAGGCTCACTTCCTCCATCCCTCATCTCTGTTCCAGTATGTGCACCGAGCCAAACACTTGTGAGCATTGAGTGAAGTGTGAACCTAGTGTTAGTCAAATTTTGGAGCACTGGGAAAATCTCCTGATAAATTAATAGAGAGGAAGAGCTTTGTCTTTATTTTTAACATTTCCATTGTCTGTAATGTTGTAGGTATTCACAAACTGTTGACTGAAAAATACATAAATAAAGTGGTGACCAAATTTGAGGATTGACTGGAAAAGTGAGAGTATATTAGTGACTTTCAAATTCAGTAAATATTTGTGGAATTTAGTAGAATTGAACTAGTTAAGGGGAAAGTAAGTTTAAGATGAATTCCAGAAGTAAGGGGAAGGCCTCTTTTTAAATCTTCTGTGCATGCAATATTTCATATTTTAACTTTTAGTATTAATACTTGCTTTTTTGGATTAGCGATCAAAGCACTTTGGTGGAAGCCTTCTGCAGCTTTCCCTGTAGGTGGGGAAAGTTTGAGTTTGGTGAGAAATCTTCAGAGGGTGGCATATGCAATTATACTTTGTTCCTTTGTGAGCAATGAGCTGGGCACTTAATTATGTAAATGCTGTTGCAAGAGAGCAGTTGCATAATCCCCAAGAGGGTAATTGTTATATGTCTTGGCAGAATGCAGGGCTTTTAATCTGTAAATAAGCAATTCTATGTGGAAGAGCTACATGCAGAGTGATTCTGTGTCTTAAAGGTCTCTTATGAATTTTTTAAAGTGAAAGCAGTAACTTCATGTGCTGATTAGCTGATGCTTTTGTGTTTCAAAGGGTTTATGATGCTTCCGTTGTGGTTTTAATCCCTCCTGAAATATTTAAGCTTCTGAGAATGATTCTTGTAAAAGGTAAAGTGTGTCTAAGTTAGGACTATTAATAATCTGAATGTTTCAAATGTATTAATAGATGAAGCAAAAAAGATATGCTTTTTGCAAATAAAAAAAATCAAGATAAACAAAACAATGAAATAAAACATTGGCAACAGTTTTAAAAAAGCAAAGATACAATAATTAGCTAATATGTTTCTCACTTTTTGATGGTTAGTAGGTTTTTTCCATTTTATTTGAACTTTATTTTGGTATAACTTATATAATAAGCTGCATTTATTTAAAGTTTTCATGTATATGCCACTGTAGCTAATATTTCCAAAAAGAATTAACTCACTTTTAGGGTATGTGTGTATTTTGTCTAGATGCATGTGAGTCTTTTAGATACTAAAAGCAAATTTTAACTTTTGTTTTTCTAAGCAGTCAGTAGCGTCTGCCTTCCCTCCTATGTCCCTGTTACAGTGTTAATGAGCTGACTGTGCTCTTCTCTAAGGTCAGCTTCTGTACTTGAACTCTTAATCTCTCCCCACTTTGCCTAATCAGGACTACATTTGGGGAACTGTCCCTCTCTCCTTGGTGACAAACTCCCCCCACCTATCAAGTTATTCCCTTCAAAACAGAAACATGTCACGACTTCATCTGCTCTTTCTTAAAACTCTTGACCATTTCTCTGTTCTCCTCTGCAGCAAAACTCAGGTGTCTATATTCTATCTTCACTTCCTCTTTTCTGTCTTTGAAACCAGCTCCAAGAAGCCTTTCACCCTAGTCCTTTATATAGAACCTGCTTTTGTCAAGGTACCAGTGACTTTCACACTGCCAGAGTCCATGGGCAGCACTTGGTCTAAATCTTATTTGGCCGTCTGCAGCATCTAACATAGTTTTTCACTCCCTTCTAGAAACACCCTCTTTACTTGGGTCAGGAAAGCCCTGTCCTCTGGGTCTCCTGCTTCCCCACTGGTCACTCTTACTTAGACTCCTTTGTGAACTCCTCCTCATTTTTCTGTGTGAAGTACACGTCTATCTCCTGAACCCCACACTTACTGGATGACTGACCTTAGGCATGTCAGAAGCTGACCTTGGGCATATCAGACTTAACACAGTCAAAATGTGACCACACTCTGGTCTTCCTACAGTTGTCTTTCACCTGGGTTATTTATTGTAAGAGCTTTCTGTTTGGTTTTTCTGCCTCTATCCTTGCTCTAGTCCCTTTCATTCTGTATTCAGCACAGCAACCCCAAAAGACCTTTTTAAACCATCAGATTATGTCCTCCTTTTGGCCCAAGGCCTTCAGGTGTACTCCCATATCAGTCAGAGTAAAAGCTGTCCAGTAAGGATCTTCATCATCTGACCCCATTAGCTTTCCATCTCTCCTCCTGTTTCCCGTTACTCACTCTGCCTTGCTGCATTGACCCCTTTCTCAGACATGCTCAGAGGCCTCTGAGCCAGGGCCTTGGCAAGGGATGCTGCTTTAGGCTGGGCTCTTGTGTGCTGTGGTTCTGCATGGCTTGCTCCCTTTGCACCTCAGATCTCTGCTCCACCGTCCTCTTCTCTGTGAGACCTTCTCTAGCCATCCTGTTTAAGTTCCCCCGCCCAGCCCCACCAGCTCTCCTGATCCGTCCTCCAGGCTTTATTTTTCCCTATTGCACTTATCACCATATGAAAGTAAAAATACTTGCTTTTCTGTGTTTATTCCACTGTTTGTCTGCCTTTTCATATTAGAATATAAATTTCATGAGGATAGAAATTGCCTTGGTCACAGCTGTGTCACCTGTGCCTGAGAGAGACTGCATGCTTGGTCAGTACTGCTGACTGAGTAATTGAAAAGCAACCTCAAGGCTGCTTGATGCTTTCTTGTCATTTTTAGAGCAGTCTGAGTGTTACAGAGGATAGATAACATTCAGAATAATTAACTCTATGCTAACAGCTCTTTCCCATTCCTCAGTTTCTCTGTTTGAAGAACATAAGGACATTTCTCACGGCCTGTTGTGAGACGTTTGGAATGAGGAAAAGTGAACTCTTCGAAGCATTTGACCTGTTTGATGTTCGTGACTTTGGAAAGGTAATTATACTTTGTTTTTAATATTACTTTTTAACTGGAGAACATTGAAGCAAATTGCTTTAAATCTTGAAGTAGGGCATGTAACTTAAGTGGTTTATGTAATTCTGTATTATATACTTGAATTTCACATGTAGATGGCTCAGCAAAAACAAGCAGAAACCATACGCATGAAACAACAACAAAAAAATTGGCATCAACTTTCCAAATGGGATTAGAATTATTTTGTAATTAAAGTAGTATGGGGGAGGGAACCTTTTCTCCAGAGGTAATTTTTTTCTGCTAGTCACCTCAGAGGGTAGGGTTATTATTATCTGCCGTTTAGATCGATCACTGGGCACTCAGGGGTAAGGACCAGTATTCTTTTCCTCCAGTCTTCTCTATATTTGAAAGCTCCTAATTTTTGGAAGTTGAGAATGTTCTGCTGTTTTTTTTCTCTATTTTGACACTGGATTAGGTGACGCGGAGAAGACATGATTCACAAATGTTTGAGATTGTTGAATAATTTCTGTTGCTTGGATTTCAGCAGATAATTGTCGGATTTCAGGGACATTTTTCACATGGAAATTGTTTTAATATTTACTGTTATTTTATGCACACTGAACATGTGTATAAGTGAAAAATCATCCTTTAAAAATTATGATCATTTCTTATGAAGTGAATGAACATAAACCTCTCACAAGTAACTAGCCATAAAAGAGTCAGGTAATTAAGGCAACCAGACTTCGGCCCATGCTGATGTAATTGCATTATGAAAATAAGTGCATGATAAGGAAAAAACTAATGCTATTGAAAAGTTTGTCCTTGTTCTTGTAATTCAGCTGCTAGTGTCTTATCAAAAGGCTGTTTGAGAGTGATACTTTTTTTGATCTCTGAGATATAATATTTTGGTTAGAAAATAAAAACCAATGGATTGCTCTTTGCTAAACAGTATAAACTTGAAACAGCAATATAGGAAATTAGATGCTGAAATACAGCACATGTGGGGAAGCCACTCTATCTGGGGAAGGGGAAGGCCTGGGTTCTCTCTCCGGTCTTAACCCAGGGTCATTTTGTAATCTAGAAGTCACCAGCCTTCTCGGGCAGCAGGTTGCCTTCGAGCTTGCAAAGTTGTACAAAGGGAAGCGAGGATAAGAACGTGGTTTCTAAGATTCCTTTAATCTCTGGAAAGCTATTATTTAACTGTCCTGAGGTCCAAAAAGTGATGGAGGAAAAAAGATGATAATAAGTACAGGGAACTGAAAGCCAAGCCCTTAGTAAGTGAGGTGGTAGCGTATTTTTCTGTGGCCATGAAGCACGGGTGAGGTGGACACTTCTCTAAGCTGTTGGCCCTGAAAAACACCAGAGATATTTCTGGTTTTCTTTTTCTTTTATCCGTCCCCCTATTCCTCCTGTACCTTTAAATAAAATCTTCCTTTATTTTCACCAAGAGGGGAAATGAAAAATGGAAATGAATTGGGGAAATGAAAAATGAAAAAAGTTTTGACTTTTTAAATCTCCTTAAGGAACTATTTATTTTTCATTTAAATTTGCAAGAAATGGTGTTGATAAATATTGGAAAAATATATAAATACTTCGAAATGCATGGTGTTCCAGTGGAATAAGATTGCATGCTAAATTGATTAGACAATGGAAGCTTTGGAGGAGAGTCGATACTACAAAAAATTGAATGTGAAGGCATAAACTGTATGCTTCTTAAGGATAAATGTATTTTTGACTGCTTAAAATATTTTAGCAATGGTAGATCTGAAACAGAATTAAACTTGAGATTGTGGTTTAGAACTTGAACCTACATTGTAGTCACTTATGTTTTGCTGCTGCCAAGATTGGGGTAGCTATCTCTTTAGAACTGTATGATCTAAGAAAACACTGAAAGTTAAATAATTTGTGACATCATTTTGTAGTTTATCAGTACTAATACTATTAAGCATCATATGCTCTAAGTAAAAACTGCCAATACCACCACTTAATGAACACTTAAAATGTGCAGTCTTTTCAGTCTTCAGGATAAAATTTTGAAAATTATTTTGGCAACATTAGGAAGTACGTACTACATTTTCTCTTCATTGTATAGAGGAGAAAATCAGCATCCCAAATTGTATATCTATTAGGGATTGAAGCAGTGGTTTGAACTCAGGTCTAGCTGATTCTGTACTATTGTACTACAGTGCAAACATTCAAATAGCACATAACATGTGTTTAGCATGTAATGAGGGAATCATCAATCAGTTCTAATATGTGAGTACTATTATTTTTCCCATTTATGGATCCTAGCTTGTGAGTAATGGAACTGAAATCATTCATGTAGTTTAAAATTTTTAATTTGAAAAAATGTGAATAGATTGTTAATTCAGCAACAAAATAATTTCTGACAGGAAAATACACATTTTAACCGGATGTGGACAGTCTATTTTCCTTCATTTCTTAGGATTTAAATAAATTTTTTGTTAACTTAAAATGAAAAATATATGTGCTCTCCTTTCTGCTTCAATTCCTACAATGGTGAATCTGAACTTCATGTGCATTTCCCACCTTTTTGCCTAAGAATATATTAATTGTAATAGCAGCACCTAATGTTTTTATAGCATTTTGAAGTTTTCAGAGTACTTAGCATTACTGACCACATTTGATTCTCATAATAGTCTTGTGAAGACATTCTTTAGATGAAAAAGCTAAGACATGAGGAGGTGCTTAGATAGTGATTCCAGGGTCTCCTTGCTTGGGAAGAGGAATAAGATCTGGAGCTCAGGCCTCTGGCTTCTCAGTCCTGTTTTTCTTGTCCAGTGTCTGTGTTTTGGGTCTCATTGCTATGTGGATGGTCAGGGAAAAGGATGAACTTAAAAGAATTTATAAAATTAAAAAACACAAGTGATGTATTACTTGGCATCTAATTATGCTTTGGAAAGAAAGGAGAGATTTAGAATACTGCATGAGTCTGCAAACCAGTGGTGGTTCAAGTTATTAACTCTGAATAGTCACCCGATTCACAGGTTCTCATCTATACACGTGGAATCAGTTCTTAGCTACACCCTCCTCCCTGTTTTCTCATTGCAGTGTTTGCTCACTAATCTTTGCCCAAGTTCTTCCTCTGTTTGGGGTTCAGGAAATTTATTTTGAACTTAGGCTTGCTATGGATGTGTTTTCTTTTAGAAAATCCTGGAAACGATGTTAACGTGAATGATAATTTGTATTTTGTTGAGATGGTGAAGAGCATCCATTTGGGGTCCTCTAGAAGGGCTTATGATAATTCTGCCTTTCAGTGTTACCTTTAATTCTTAGTATTGAACTCTTTACTCAATAGTAATTCACTTCAAACGCAACCAACATCAAGAAAAATTAGAATAGTTTGAAATGCTTTCTATGCTTTTTAAATAATACAGGAAAGAGGAGTGAGTTTAGTAACTTGAACTCATTTAAGAGTCAGCAGAGGCCTTGAGGTTAAATGTGACCCTCACTCTTCAGGGTTGATAAATACTGAAAAGGTTCCTGAAAGAGGGAGATTTCTTGTCTAAGACTGCTGAGGTCTGAGGGGGAATGGGGGAATGAGGCGTGTTTGGGGTTTGTTTTGAATAACCATTTACTTTCTTACTTTTGAGAAAAAAGGAATCTCTTTCTGGCTTTCTGGCAACAAAAGTAAGTAAAATATTGTTAGGTAACGTTTTGGCTTAAGAAAAATAATTAAAACGTTCCCCTCCAGAATAATATTAGAAATTACTATATTATTTTTGGCATCATAACACTATCTATAACTTTGTTCATTTTCATACTGTATATAAAGAATTTTTCATAACTGTTTCAATTGTCATTTTATGATTATATTGCTCTTTGGAAATGTTTCCTACTGAGCTGTCTGTTGGCACATTTACAGTGCAGAAGCACATGGGATATTTTCTTTAATAAGACCATTTCTAGAGAGTAATGGAAGTCAGGTTGCCTCTGTCCAGATAAGTGACTAAAGTCAGCTCCTTACCCTTGCTCTGGGTGAGGGCTTGCTTCCCATGACACACTGTTGTTTCAAGTATTGTAAAGCACTTTGCAAGTGTAAAGTTATGTATTTTCTTAAACCAAAGAGTATCCACACCTGACCAGTGGTAGTTCCAGTTGATTTGAATTGCAATAGGATAGTTTCATCATGTTCAGGTTCAGGACAGGCACTGTCAAAAAGAATTCAGAGCATCAGCTTAGGGGTTAGTCAGGGATACAGGTAAGAACATTATTGGGGTAGGGGTAGAGAGGGTTGCCATTTAGTTAAGAATTAAACTAAAGAGCTTCTTCACAGCAAAAGGAACAGTCAGCAGAGTAAACAGACAACCCACAGAGTAGGAGAAATTCTTCACCATCTACACATCCAACAAAGGACTAATATCCAGAATCTACAAGGAACTCAAACAAATCAGCAAGAATAAAACCAATCTCATCAAAAAGTGGGCTAAGGACGTGAGTAGACAGTTCTCAAAAGAAAACATACAAATGGCCAACAAACATGTAAACATACTCGCCATCACTGATGATCAGGGAAATGCAAATGAAAACCACAATGGGATACTATGTTACTCTCGCAAAAATGGCCATAATCAAGAAATCAAAAACTAATGCCTGTTGACCTGGATGCGGTGAAAAGGGAGCACTTCTATACTGCTGCTGGGAATGTAAACTAGTGCAACCACTATGGAAAACAGTGTGGAGATTCCTTAAACAACTAAAAGTAGAACTACCATTTGATCCAGCAATACTACTACTGGGTATCTAGCCGGAGGAAAGGAAGTTATTTATATCAGAAGATACTTGCACACTCATGTTTATAGCAGTTCACAATTGCAGAAAGTGTGGAATTAGCCCAATGCCCATCAATCAATGTGGATACAGAAATTGTGATGTATATATACACACACACACACACACACACACACATACACACACACATACATACATACATGATGAAATACTACTCAGCCATAAAAAGGAATGAATTAATGGCATTTGCAGCAGCCTGGATGGAACTG